GGTTGTAAAAATGAGATAGAGAGTTGCTTTATGACTATTGCCTTGCCAGTATTTCTGCAATGTTAAAGTCACACTACACTTAAAAGCGTCAGGCCTACGCTTCATTTTGCATGCTGAGTGGCAGTTTGAAATTATCCTGGCTTGGAGTGCTGTGCAGATTCCAACTGTTGGGGTATATTTTTAACATGCCTTACTAAGATGACTAGATTTACACATTAACTAGACTCAGACAATGATGAGTTAAGGTCATGACTCCATATTCACAAGTGATGAATACAAGAAAGTAAAATATTAGCTAGCTGCTGATTGTCTGTGGCACAGTGGTTGAATATCAGAGCATGATGTCACATTATCATTGTCCTTAACCTTCAAAAGACATTTGTTATCATATTGCAGTCATGCTGTTTATTGTGAACTTTGCCATGATATTTAGTGTCTTAGATATCAAGTCTATCAAGATATCAAATCTTTAATCTGCTGAAAATCTTTGAAAAACAGAGGTATATAGTTTCATTTTTAAATAATGGAAGTATATTCCTTGACCTTTAAGTAAGGGATGTGCCATTTTCAGTTGTCTACTTTAAAAAAACCCCACAAAAGTCAACTTTCTAAAGCTCCTTTAAAAAGCAGCTAATGCTGTTAAAATTCCTTCCTGCCCTGTTTGGAGCCTATACTATTGAGTTGGGGAGGTTTAGGTTTCGGATTCCAAAGATACTCTATCACCCAAAGCACAATCACGAACAGGAACAAAAGTCCCTGTGTTAGGAGCAAACATACTGTGGAAATGATTTGAGCGGAGTAGTGTGTACACAGTGACTTGTGCCTTGTGGGAAAAAAACCTTCAGCGCTCGAGGAGAAGGAGAAAGCCACCTCATAGCGGTCATACTGACTTCTGACGTAGACTAGGCCATTCTTTTGGCCTGATAAAGTTTGCAGCTCTGATAAATAGTTCACGGTTGCTCAGGGAGATGCTGACAACAGTGGCACTCACTGGGGGTTTTCATAGTAGAAGCAAATCCAGCAGTTGGGGAAAGCTTTGAAGATTATAGATTATATCTGCCATGCTGACATGGAGATTATTAACATGGATGTGGTTTTTTGTCCACAGATTTTGGTTATATACTTCTTAAACAGCAACATTCCATACTGAATCAACATGAGGAGACATATTTACAGCATGATACTACAAGATTACAACTATACTACTACACGCATGTGTCTCTTGGTATCATGCTATATGGAGGAATATGCTGTTCGAGACTTTTATAATGGCCCAGTGAACCTTGACAGAGCTTCAAAACCATTGTCAAAGTTACACAACCTCTTTATGAACCTCCTCTACTGCTGTAAAGATAAACCCCTTTGAACCCTTGTGCAACACAAGTTAGAGTGTCAGCTTTTTTCAGCCACCTCTACAAGTCCCCTATGTGTTCTACCAGATGGGTGTAGATTTTAAGCTCCTAAATTAAGAATTTGGTCCTGCTGGGCAGTGAACAGCTTCTGTGCTTTACAGCTACTGGTTTGCAACCTGTGAGCGAGATTTGTTCCCGTTACAGTTTGGTTTCAGGCTGCTATGATGGTAGTTTGTGCTTTTACATTACCAAACTTCTTCATAAAGTTCCCAGGCTAAGTATTGGATTTACATTGCATAGAGGTGGATGAGATGGCAAAAATGCAATATCATGATATTTTAAAGGTAATTTCACAATACACTTTTATTCAAAGTCCAATTCCAGTATGTTCTCAGAAAAGCATATTTTGGCATAATTATCCCCATTATGGATGGAATATCAGTATGGGTTTCGGTGTTGGCCGGTATCAGCAGAAATTACTGGATTGGATATTGGAGGGGGAAAAGAATGATTTTGACACAATCTTGTAACAAATCTAGCCTGAAATAGCATCTCTGTGAGCAACCATGATTGTAGCTTGCTTTTAGATTCACATCTTAAGTGCTTCAAATAAATATAGCTCATTTTAAAGCTTAGTATATTGGATCAGTATTTGTATCAGACAATACTCACTATCAGTACTGCAAAAGAAAAAGTGGCACCTTTAATCACAATACAATAGAACCTTAAATGGGTTTGTGCTGTGGTCAAATTGCATGACACAAATTGAACCCTGTTTAGTTACATATCTGATTATTTTAATATTGTCCACATCGAGGAAATGACAGTATATCTTCCTAGAAACACACAGGCCTGTCCTGTAAAGCATTGTTTTTGAATATTTGTGTAACTATTTGTGTAACTATCTACAATAACTGCCTCCATACTGTCTTATATCACTTGTATAAGTCATGTAAATTGCAGAAATGCTTCACTTCCTACAGTATTTGTATGTGCAAGTCATTGGATTTCCATTTAATAGGTTTACACAGAGAGCGCCGTCTTTGCTTCACTCATTCGGGCTCCTCTTGTTTCTAATGTGTTTGCTCTCCTCAGGTCAATGTCCGCGTCACTACAATGGACGCCGAGCTGGAATTTGCCATCCAGTCAGTCACTACAGGCAAACAGCTTTTCGAGCAGGTGAGCCTTAGCTGGTCCTACAGCCTATGTCAGGTGTAAGATGGTGGCAGATATCTGCAAGCTTAGTGACTTTAGTGGAAAGGCATGTGTGGAATGGCCAACTATCTGATCTGATCTCATAACGCTCAAGCTGTAAATTCCTTCATTTTCAGGTTGTCACTATTTAATTGCAAGCTGAACAGCCTTCTGAGTGAAGGTGCACCTTTGAGTGCTGTTTCTTCAATAAACAATAAAACAAAAGAGAATGTGAATAAAAGTGGAAGCTACAGGAGGAACAGCATGTACTTAAAAATTGTTAAGCCAGTTGGCGCTTTACATGTGCGTAGGCACAGCCTTTGAGGGTAAATCATTTCACAAATGTTGTCCAGCCCAGCAACTCCTGGCAACAATGTCAAAACAGCTAGTTTATGGCATGATTTGTCACAAGATATACAGCTCTTGGGTAGGAGATTCCAGCCTTGGCCATTCCACCAGAGGTGTGACTGATAAGGTGTCGAAGTTTGGAAGGGTGGGGGTAGTTCCGCTGGTGATAGCACTGATGATCTCTTGAACAGTTCTTCTGCTGTATCGATTAGTTTGGAATCAATACAGAGCAGCGCAGAGGAGAACACCCTTCTGGCTGTTTCTCAATGGCTAAACCACTCCCAACTTTATTCTTTATGATCACTGGTCCTTCCACTTTAAGGTTGCCCCACCCTTTACACTTGATTCCAGAATAACTAGAGCTGAAGTGACTAATATGGAAGACTAATCTCTGGAATAATTGTCTACATGTCTGTTATTGTGTCACTGGTATGAAATTACCTGAGTCAATGTAAAGTGTTTGTGCCTCAGGTGGTCAAGACAGTGGGCCTGCGTGAGGTGTGGTACTTTGGGCTGCAGTATATGGACAACAAAGGATATCTCACCTGGCTGAAATTGGAGAAAAAGGTACATATTTGCAGTGTTTGTCCCCCAGGGAAAATGTATATCACATTACTAGACCTTCAGTGCATGTTATATGTAGCTGGAAATTGTTCTGAAGGTATTGCATAAGGCACTAGATTGAAGAAAATGGTCTCTAAAGGCTTGAGGCAGCATTATCCTACACCCATCCATTCAGATCTCTGGTCATGTGATTATGTGGGTTGATTAGTGACCAGGCTAGTTTCCCGGACACAGTATTTGTCTAAATTACAATGTCAGAGGTTATACTCCATGGAAAAACCATTGTCGTCTAAAGCAATACTTAATGTGTACCTAGGAAACCAGCCATGCAAGTACGAGCACAGGACCAGACATTAATCCTAATCTATCCTAATCTGTTGTACCTGCTATGTACTGTGTCCAGTTATAGATACATATTAAAAAACCTAGTTAATCACCATCTGTCACATTAATGGTCCTGACCAACCATCTCTTTTGTGTTTTGACCTAGGTTTTATCTCAGGATGTGAAGCGAGAGAACCCCCTGCAGTTTATGTTCCGGGCTAAGTACTTCCCTGAGGATGTGGCTGAAGAGCTGATCCAGGACATCACCCGCAAGCTCTTCTTCCTGCAGGTGAAAGATGGCATCTTGAGCGACAATATCTACTGCCCCCCAGAAACAGCTGTGCTGCTGGCCTCCTACTCGGTGCAGGCCAAGTTTGGAGACTTCTCCAAGGAGACCCACAAAGCTGGCTACCTCACATCTGAACGGCTGCTACCCCAGAGGTGAAGTATTTCAGAGCTGTTTTAGCAGGTTTCATTTTCAGTTTGCTGTCTTAACCTATTAATCTACTGGCTTATTATTTGGTCACTAAGCTCATTATTCAGTTACTACTATAAATTATGTAAAAAATCTCATTAAAACGTTTTTTACTTTAAAAGCCTTTTTGTATCTTATTTTTTCTCTTGAGGACAACTTACAATGTTTGGTGATTTTATGTACTATAAATGATAATAATTCATGTTACATGACTTTTTATCCTGTAGAACTAAACAGGCTGTTTTTACTGTGCCTTTTTGACTGATGTAAGATAAATTAGCTCTGTTCAATATAAATGAGCAGGGCTAAACTGCTGTAAGCAGTTTACATGAATTGGTGGATGTATGTAAATAAGTTGGTTCTCATGACATCATAGAAACAATGAATTCAAAACAAGCTTGTTTTTAGCGTCATGGTTTCCTTATATGAGCTGTGTGGACTGGGTAGTGAATGGTGTGTTTTGAAACTTTAATTTGTTCACATATTACTTGAAACTCCTTTATTTCGGAAAAGCAATGGATGTTTGGGTTTCCATGAAATGAGCCCTTTAATGTAATGTGAGTTTATTCAAAGTCATTTTAGACGATTGGTCCATTCATTATGAAATGATCACACAATGTTAAGGGTAGCTGGCATTTTCAAATGGTGTTAAAAAAAGCAGTGGAAAAAGTTACAAGCTTTTCATGTGACAGTGATGATATGTGAGATATGTAGTTATGACAGTGAGCAATTGCGGTTTAAGGGGTAAATTTTATAACTGTTTCTGAGGGCGTCTGAAAATTTATTATTATCTGTCATCTTTTCCAATGTATTATTTTTCACCAAAAAGCCCGTAACAAAGTAGACATGACAAAGTTTTAGATGTTTTGATGATTGTGGTATTAGTGCGCTGCTTTATTGTGATGGCTCGTTGGTCTTGTTAGTGCTTTCTCAGCCTTGTTCCTCACTTTATTCTGTTGCATTATACCTGCTGCACTTAGCCACTTTACATGTTAAAACATTATACTTACTTTGCACAGACACTTCAATTGGCCCATTTTCATCAAAGTTGTGCATGGCCAAATTTGATCCTAAAATTGTGATTAATCAAAACTATTATCAATATCATCCACAGTCCCAATAATTACAATAAAGATAGAAAATAACAATAGTACTAATAATGTACCTGGCAATCCAGTACAAAAGTGAATGTACTTATTTTGCACACACATTGATAAACAAATGCTGTAACCAGCTGTGTTCCATTTAAAGACATATTACACTTTGCTTTTGTTTTATACTACTAACACCGCCCCCCCCCCCAAAAAAAAATCAAACACAACCAATAAAGAAGCATCTTATTCAGTGTAATAATACAGTTTTTAAATATGTTGTTTTAGGAAAATAATCATATCACAGAATCACATCTGTATACACACAAACAAAATTTGTTTATTTTACTTTTTAACAGTAGTTGTAATTTTAACACTATAAAGTTTGGTCAGTAGGGGGAGTAGTCCACTCAATGGTCAACCTTAAACACCGTCTAGAAGTACTGCCTTTGGCTCACAAGCTGCTGAATGCTGTTGTTTTATTGGCTCCCTACCAAAACATCTGCATGAATGAGGGCGTGCTTCATGTAAATGATATGTAAATGAGGAACTAGTATGCTGGCACTTGATTTCACGCACTGAAGCTGATTATTGTCAGCTTATTTCCATATCATACAAAAGTTTCATGAATCAGAAGCAGAGTAGGTCATATGTCATTAATGCGGTAATAATTAATAATAATAAGAGCCATTGTCTGCAGTTCTGGTGGTGCTTGTGGCTATGCTACTAAGAACTATTACTAATTATGATTGCACTAATAATAATACAGGCACAACAGTCAGTGCTGCTGTGGCCCAACAGCTGGTCTGTTTCTTTCCCCAACCCCTACTGTACACTGTCTAGTCTCTACTGTCCGTGTTTATTGGTTGAATACTTTATTGTATATTGTATAATATAATTTATTTTGTAGTGTTCTGAATAGCTTATTGTCTGTATTTATTGAAGTTATTGTCTCTTTGTGCTGTTGTCTGCTGCTGTCCTGTGTTAAATGTAGCACCATGTCCCAGAGGGTCTGTATTTTGTTCCTCACAAAACACATCAGTAGTGAGAAGGAATGACAATAAAACTGACTTTGTCTTTGACTTTGACTCTCTGTCTCCACAGAGTGCTTGACCAACACAAACTCTCCAAAGAGCAGTGGGAGGAGAGGATCCAGGTTTGGCATGAGGAACACAGGGGCATGCTAAAGTGAGTCTCACATGCACACACTTCAAAACACACTCTCAAAGAAAAAAAAATGCAACATGTTTTCACTGTCTGAAAAAAAAGCTTATCTCTAAAATGGTAATTTTTCAAGAGAATTTTACATTTTAGTGTATATTAATGTATCAGGATTTTTCCAAGTAACGTTGGACCATTTCTTTGGTCTATTTGTCATGAAATAGTCACACAATGCAAAGCCTGCATTTTCAAATGGCATAAAAATGACCAAATGTAAATTAAAAGGAAATGCAAATTTTGATCTAACAGTAATGTTACATGTTCACTTTTGTTTTCCCAGGGAAGATGCTATGCTGGAATACTTAAAAATTGCACAAGACCTGGAGATGTATGGAGTCAACTACTTTGACATCAAGAATAAGAAAGGAACAGAGCTGTGGCTGGGTGTGGATGCTCTTGGACTGAACATCTATGAGAAAGATGATAAGTAAGCATTTGATTCTCATGTGCCTTTGCTTACCAAGCAAAATCATTGACCCCCTGGTCATCAACAGCAGCTGGCTTTGGGATGTTTAGTGTAGGGCAGGTATTAGGGTCAGTGTGCCAGCAGTCAATGCCTGTTTAGTCAGTGACCCCTAGAGTAGCTCTGTCAACTCCAGCCAGCCAAGCTCTGTAGGTCTGTGGAGCACTCGTTATTGAGAGGTCATTGCACCTAAGGCCTGATGTGCCCATTACGCCTGTGATTTACATAATGTATTCAGCAAGAGGGACTGAACTGTTAAATTGAACTCAAGCTTGAGAATGATTTCATGTCATTTTCTATTGTTCCGTAGACTGACACCAAAGATTGGGTTCCCTTGGAGCGAAATCAGGAACATATCATTCAATGACAAGAAGTTTGTCATCAAACCCATTGATAAAAAGGCTCCCGTAAGTGTTGTTTATTTTTTTGCATGGGGTATGACAAGATGTGATTCAGTTAGTGGTTTTTCTGTGTATCAATGTCTTAATCGCAACACATTTGAGTTGTCAGTTTTGTTAGACTATAAATAGGACTATGACTCACATTTTTATCATAAGTGATTTTTTTTAGCATGTGTAAAGATACAACTTTACTGGTCACCAATACAAACCTTATTGTTCATATCAGTACTATTGTATCTAAACTTTGTAACAATTTTAGATTTTTTTTGCTGCATAATGAATGGAAATGGTCCAAAATTACTTGCGACAGTATACTTGTAGATTGTGATGTTTGGTGTCTTATGATCTTAAAGCAGGCCCGACATTTCTCTCTTCCAGTGGTCTGCCACTATCACAGTGTTTAGCCTCAGGATACAATGGCTGACTGCAATTATTACAGACATTCCACGACGATACAGTCTTGCCCACGTTATCTCAGAGCAATTTTAATTTGCCAGCCCAAGTTTAACTCAGCAGTGGCTTTTGTCTAGACTGCATTGCTGTTAAGTGAAACAGACCATACTCATTCACTCATCTTTGGAACACATGTAAATCTCTCTGGGCTTGTGCTTCCTCCTTCTCTCACTCTCTCAGGACTTTGTGTTCTATGCTCCTCGCCTGCGCATTAACAAGCGCATCCTGCAGCTGTGTATGGGCAACCATGAGCTCTACATGCAGCGCAGGAAGCCTGACAGCATTGAGGTGCAGCAGATGAAAGCTCAGGCCAGAGAGGAGAAGCACCAGAGGCAGATGGAGAGGTCTGACAGTTTGTCTCATTGTATTTTTTTCTTTTATGCATTCATTGTATGTACTGTTGTACATTGTTGTGAACTCCCCAAGTCAAATGTCACGTTTCGTTGATGTTCTAAATGAAAATAAGTCCAAACATTTTTTGTTAGCCCATATTATGGAAAACTGAATTTTCCTCACTCTTTTAAATAAGAATTTCACTCACAAATATTTATATTTCATATATTGAAACTAAACTGCAAAATAACATTGCCTGATTTTTTTTTCTGCTGTTACAAGAACCAAGGTATTTACATTTACGCCCCTTCAGATAGCAGTAGTTTAGCTGGCCCTTTAATGAGCTCAGTTTTTATAAGGAGTATATATTAGTATATATATTACAAAAGTAATACTACGAATTAAAAGAAGGTGGTAAAAAACAATTTATAACTCTTTTTAGTTCCTAAAACAAAGATGAACATTATAACTGCAATTCAATCAATACTGACAACATTTACACATTTAGACATGCCCCACTTTACAGTATTAAAACAAGATCATAGCCCTGGCACACTTTGACTGAGACAGTGAGATGTTCTGTTTTGGTTTAACAGCTTTTGTGTATGGAACAATATTGTTGTTGTGCTGAAACATGTTTGTTTATGTGCTAGTGCTTCCAGCTACAGCCTGGCTTGCGTGTGCTCTTTGTGTTATGCAGGTGTTAATTAAACTGTCCATGTCTTTTAGTGCTTGTCACTGCATATAAATGATCTTCTTTTGACACCTTTTGATATGCTAATGGTAGATTTATGCATTTTTCAGAGCCATGCTGGAAAACGAGAAGAAGAAGAGAGAAACTATTGAGAGAGAAAAGGAAGAGATGGAGAGAGAGAAGCGAGAGATGATGATGAGACTCTCTCAGTTCGAGGAGCAGGCCAGAAAAGCTCAGAGAGGTAAAGTTCTCTTTGGTCTAAGTTACTAATCGCAGATTTTTTAACTGTTGTTAAGGAGGACAAAATAAGACCTGCATACTATTTATTACATAAACCAATTTTAGTGACATTTTGAGCTAACTGCCCTTCTTCAGTCAAATATATGTCAAATTGGTCTTGAAATGCCCACAGATCCTCATGTCTCGGATGAATCCTAAAGCTCAAAGAAAGCCTTAAAATATAAAAAAATTAGCACAAAAGACATTCAAGCAATACAGCAGAATAGTATTCCCCCAACGGAACTGAGTAGTACAGAACTCCTGGCAGTAAGGTGTTGCACAGAAGTGAATCAGGTATTGTCTCTACCAGCAGTCTCTTCAAAACAATAGTTAACTGGACGCTGCTGCACCACGCATTCAGTTAAAAAGGACAGGAAGGGCTCTTGATGCCAGATGGGTAGCAACATTGGAATGTTAGATTTTGCTAGTGTAAAGGCCTTAGTGTGACTTCCATGCTTGTCAGAAAATAATGAGAATATATTTTGATATAATTTGGATGCCAAAACTGACAAAGAACACAAAAACACCTAAGTAAATAAGTTGAATTAATTAAGCCATTAACATCCGTCATTCGTTTTAATCTTGTTTTTATGATATCAGTGCTGAGAACTTTATATAGTGCCACATAAATTGAAAAAATATTTTAACCTCTGAAAAAGGGGTATGTGTGAGATATGTCAGCTGATGGGAATCAGTGAACATGGCAAAATGTCACAGCAGACAAAGGCTATATATACACATGTATTTTTATATATCTATCAACATATCTATGTGTGTGTGTATATATATATATATATATATATATATATATATATATATATATATATATATATATATAGCTTTTGACTTACACTCAAGTATATTTTGACAACATCAACATAAATAGTAAATAAACATCTGTATAATAAAGTTATAGTACAGTTTCTCTGTACTTTTTCTACCTCTGCTGAAACCTCCCTCTCTCTGTGGACATTTAATTGGTTCATTGCCTGTTGAACTGCTGTAAAGTAACTGCTGCCCCCTGTTGGTGTCATGTATGTATTACACAGACCTGCAGGAGCAGCTGGAAAGAGCCAAAAGGCTGGAGGAGGAGAGGAGGAAAGTAGAGGATGAGGCCGCTCGTTTGGAGGCTGAGAGACAGGCGGCTCTGCTGGCTAAGGAGGAGCTGGCCAGGCAGGCTGAGGACCAGGCCAAGAGCCAGGAGCAGCTGGTGAGTGCGTGGGGTTCCCCAAACTAAGAGCAGTCAAGCTGATACACACTAATAAAGGGAGTTTCCTTTTTACTCAGATCTTCACGCTAAACCTCAGAAGAGAAACTACACTCCTAAAAATAAAGGTGTTAAAAAGCTTTTTTTGGAGTGGTTCCATAGAAGAACCACTTTGTGTTGCCTAAAGAACCTTTCAAATAGGGATGCAAATTCTTTTGACCGATAACTGACTGTCGCCAGTCGGCGATTACCCATTAATCGGCAAGCCTAAAATCAAGGATGTGACACATTAAAAAGTCAGTTATGAAATGGATTGTTCACATTATGAAATCTGATTGGCTGAGCTACGTTTAAAGCCATGGGAAAATATTTAATAGACTTTAATAGACTTATGAATCACACATCAACTGAATTTCTGTATTAATGCACAATTGAGATATTAAAACATGTTACTTATATAGTCCCTAGAGCGTAGTTCTAATAGGTGGGGCCATATATCATGATGAGCTACTGAAAGTTCCATATTTTAAAGATTATTTACCACAGAATTACCACTTATTACTAGCCTGAGTTAAAAGGAACATAAATGCCATGCCTATCTTTGGCTCAGTCTACCTCAGTAACCCTCAAAAGCCATCACTATCCTCTGCGTCCATCTCTGTAATTTTACACACCTATATGTGATTAACTCACATCGCTGCACACCACACTTGCTCTCAGGGAACATGGTCAAAATAATTGTCTGCATAAGCTTTTGCTATGGAACATTGCAGTTGTGCTCTTGTCCTCTCAAAAGTGGCCTGAACACCACGTTTTTTTAGATTTCTTCAAACAGTTGTTTTTTTATTACTGGCTTGTTAATCATTTGCATCCCTGCTTTCAATGAATTGTTCTGTGAAAAATATTTTTTTGTAAATGAGATGTCAGTCTGAAGAAACTTTTTAAAGTAAAAAAAAAACCTCACATAAATGTTCTACACCAATGAAAGGATTTTCTATATGTAGGAGCTTTTATTTTGTTTGCAGCTGCTGTTTAGGTTGGGCTGTCTGAGGATAAGAAATTGAGTCTGACTTGCTGATATATAAAGTGATGGGAATTGAGGGCTATTTTTGTTCTTTCTGTCCCTGAAGGCTGCAGAACTGGCTGAGTACACTGCAAAGATCGCCCTGTTGGAAGAGGCCAAGAAAGCCAAGGAGGATGAGGCTAATGAATGGCAGAGCAGGGTGTGTATAACACTTTTGTTATCAGTATGTTAAATCACCATCAGTTTAAACTGAGACATTTTCATTCCTCTACTGGACCGTATTAAATTAACTCTGTGTCTGATATAATTAAAGAGGCCGTTACACAGTAATGATTGTTAAAGTTTCAGAACATACCGTTTATTCTGCAGTCCATACAGTCCTGACTGCTTTTTAAGCAAGGCACAGTACAGAGCAATTGTAAAGGGGCAGCCAATCAGAACAGATTTTATTTACATATATAAATGACACATAATATTCATAAGTTTTAAAGGTACAGTAACAAAGTGGCAGCCAAGACTCCTGTAAATTGGCAGCTTTCTGATAGAAGTTATTTACATATAAAAACGACAAATAATGCAAAGGTTTTAAAGACACAGTAACAAAAACACCATGTTTAGCTCTAAGGAATGAAGAGAGGTTTTAAAATGGTTGTATAAAAATGAATTGCAAAAAATGAAAAAACGGCCAAGCGCTATGAGTGAAAGGGGAAAAAGGGATACAAGCATCCCTCTGCCTTTGTTAAATGTCAGAGACAATTTTATACTCGGTACAGCACGTTTTTACTCTTGTCTTGATTGTTTCTGTAGTTTGTTTGTATCAGCATAGCTCTTATTCTTCTGTGTGTTTTAGGCTAAGGAGGTGCAAGAAGACCTGTTGAAGACCCGTGAGGAGCTGCAGCTGGTGATGACTATTCCTCCACCACCGGCTCCATCCATGCTCGTGATGGAGGATGTCCAGGTTGAGGAAGTAGAGCATGAGGACCACGAGGAGAACATGAGGACCTACAGTGCTGAGCTCCTGGTAGAGACCATCAAGGACAACCGCAATGAGGAGGAACGTCTTACCGAGGCCGAGAAAAACGAGCGCGTTCAGAGACAGCTCATGGTGAGATATACAGACACTCACATACATTACGGTGCAAAATGCTTTATGCTGCATTTACATTGTGAAAGTAAATACAGCATATTTTTGCAGCATGGATATGGAATATCCATGGCAAACCTGGATATTCTATAATTCATTAGAGAAGCAACAGAAAATTCTGCCACCGACAGCAAACTGCATTAGTCAGCGGAATGTTCCATTAAAGTTAAATTCTCCCAACTTTTGCCATCAGCCGCAACAGTGGAATAAACTCTATGATGATTTTTTTCTGAAAACGCAGGACTGAACGTTTGTAGTTAAAGTTTAGGTGTAACCTTTCATGTACAACAAAACCAGACTTTAATGAAAACATGCCCTGTACCCTTTGCAGTATTTACATGACTGCATGCCATTGGTCACATACCATCACTGATTACATCAATTCTGCCATAAAGCACTTAATCTTGGCAGTAAGGGTTTATTTTCTCAGAAAAATGCTAATATTACAATAAATACATGATTTTACACTTTTTATACAGGGTAGATTAAAATACTGCAAGCTGGCCACCAGAAGATATTTTAAGGTGTTTTATTCAATATTTCAAGTGAACACCAAAATGTTATTAAATGATAAAGGGCTTACTCTAATTACACTGCCAATACCTAAATAAGTTAATGCCTATATTAATTTTATTAGAAGTTCATTCTCTGTGTTATACAGCTCTCTCAGTTATTATGAAACTATCTACAGCTCTGTTTATTATTATGGACACATCTAAAATTTCTTCATTTTTATAGGTTTCTATAAACTGGTAAAGTAGTAGCATCATATTAGAATAATTTTTCAATAATTGGGTTTATGTTATGGAAAACAATGATTCCAAACTCTGAGTGGTAGTGTATGTCTGTCAGTATGTAGCTTAACAAATTTAAAAGTTCTCCTTGAGAAAGCCCAGTATTTACAGTTACCATCTAATACCTGCTTCAGCTAGTCAGACCTTCGTTACATAAAATCAGATGTTTCTGCTGATGGAATTTAACAAATCCATATAATTGCTGGAGTGCACAGAGAAATCAGGGACCACACTACATTCTTTAGACCATCTCAAAAGATACCAATACTTTTTTGAAAATGAGATCTGAAGTTACTTTTAACTGTATTAATGTTTTTTTTTCTGTAACAATACCCAGCCCTGATACATAGTTTTATTGTGTTTGAGAATTTTTTTTGCTAACCTAAGACTTTTGTACAGTAATTTTTGTACAGTGAATTTGATATAATTTCCCATTTTATCTGACATAAATGGAGTACATCTGATGTATTACTCTTACCTTGAGTTGTGATTTGTCTTGAATTTGAAATGGAACACTTTTGCCATGATCAACAGGAGCATGTGCATAAGCTTTATGGGGGTGGATTGCCCTCACAATCCCTTGGGCTATAATATATTTATTTATAGTTACATATTTTTTATAAATAACCTTGGTTGAATTTGTGCCACAGGCCCTGAGCTCAGAGCTGGCCGACGCGCGGGATGACACCAAGAAGACCCAGAACGATATCCTGCACATGGAGAACATGCGCGCCGGGAGGGACAAGTATAAGACCCTGCGTCAGATCCGCATGGGCAACACCAAGCAGAGGATAGACGAGTTTGAAGCCTTGTAGAGACTGATAACATCTCTGAATAACCTCAGCCATGGCAAACACCCTTCTAGCTTCTTCCACTGCTGTTCTAGGGTGTATCTGTAACATTATCACGAATGGTTTCACTTTACAATAGGTGTCCAAGTACCTCTTATTTAGCCTTTCTTAATGTTATTTAATCATGGTAGGGCCATTGGACAGGCTTGTATGTTTTTAAAAGATTGCCATGAAAGGAGAAGGGTAAACTGGAGCAGTTTCAGGATAAGAGCCTTGCTCGTGGGCACAGTGGTAGCGTTTAGAGGAAGGGCAGAAACATTACAATCTATCAGACTTTTTACAGTATACATACAAGTGTATGTTGACCATAAATATAAGTTTTTACTTGAAAAGTAAAAGTGTTCAGCATCTCTTATTATTATTAATATTATTATTATCATTATTACTTGGTGTAGAATTGGACCTGACTTCGCTGAACATCAGCATTCAGTCGAAATCACATTTTGGTAATTGTGCCACAGCCTTTTAAAACAAAATAATTTCATATAGTAAGTTGCCAATAAATTCCTCTTTTTGTTGTTGTTCTTTTTAGTGCTAATTGCTGCCACCCTGAGTTTGATTTAGGAAATGCATCACCCTGACAGAGATTAAATAATGCTGGTGAAAGTTTAGGACGCTGAATAGACTAATTCATTTATTTTCACTCGGAATGGAAAAAAAATGAAGGACAGGTGTTTCTTGATTATTTGATCATCCGAGCTTTTTCGATCCATGTCTTAATGAAGTGCTGCATGTGTGTAAATTGTTTTAGCATATCTTTGTAAATTTTGTCTTTGAATGATTTGAATTGCTTCTAATGTTATAAAATATCACGGAAACAGCTCGTGCCATTCATACAACCCTTCCCACACTTTTTTGTGCCACATGAACCAAAGAGGTGTTCACAGAGGATCTTTTTGCTGTTTTAGAAAATAAAGAACCACAATCCTGGTGCTGTCTGGTAAAAGCGCCTTATACCTGTATATGTCGTTTTATTCTCAAATTAGGAGGCAGTTTTCTCTTCTCTTTTTTTTCTCGTTTTGTCCTCCAGCTGTAAGATGAAGATCCACTCTGACGTTCGCGCTCATGTTCAGCGCGTCATAAAAGGCGAATTGTAATTCAAAAGAAGCGCGTGCGCGCGCGTACAAAGGGACGCTGCTATTGACTGAAGCACTAAAGGACCAGATCACTAATTATGTTGCTAGACAACAACTTAGAACGCCTGGAAACCATATCAGTTGAAATATATGCTCAGTCAACAGTGCCGCGTTCAGTGCATCTGTGCAACGCGCTGAGTTTCTGGGAAAAAAATAATAATAAAAACGTTTCAGAAGCCATTAGGCTATTAGGAACAAGAGCAATTAAGTCTGTAGTAGACCTACATAGGCAAAGAGACTATATATATATATATATATATATATATATATATATATATGTATGTGTGTGTGTGTGTATATATATATATATATATATATATATATATATAGATAGAAAGTTATATATAGATGGTTCTTCAAGGGGATCTTTAATAACAACGATGGTTTTATGTAGAACCATGAACACTGAAAGAACCATTTACATGATTACATATACATGATTAATTGGTTATTTGCATTGTGAGATGGTTCTTCACTGATGGAGAATGTATTGTATATGGTTCTGTTGTATAGCACCAAAAAGGGTTCTGCTATTGTCACAAGCTTGACGTCATAGCAATAGCAGAACCCTTTTTTGGTGTATATAGAATCCTTTTCAACAAAGAATAATATACAACACATTCATATATATATATATATATATATATATATATATATATATATATATATATATATATATATATTTAAGATGAATGTACGTGAATACTACACAGGTTTGGCTCAGTATTCCTGGTGTTCAGCACAGTTCAACTTCAAGAAGAGATCTTAATTTTTAGAAATAAGGCCCTTACATGTCCAGTTGGGACAGCCCACCCACGCTACTGGCACAAACTGTACCCAAGGCTTCTCATGATTTCATAGGCATGGACAGCCTCTTTCCCTCGCGCTCCCTAATGACCGGCGCGTTGAACTCGAAGGAACAAATGACCAAATAAGGGCTGCGCTCTTCACCGTTCGGGGGTGGTGCTGAAAGAACAGCTCCTAGCGCGCGGGCCCTCGTGACCGCGTCTGCGCGGGGACCCTCCGTCCGAGACTCCCGAGGGGTCAGTTAGACTCTGCAGAGACATGAAGCTCCCAAGTTGTCCGCTACACGCGCAGGCTTTCCACGCGGAGGGGCGTTTTTAGGCGGCTTGAGGAAAATGAAGAGGCAGAACGTGCGGACGCTCGCCTTAATCATTTGCACCCTGTCCTATTTGCTAATTGGAGCGGGAGTGTTTGACGCGTTGGAGTCCAAGCAGGAGAAAATCCAGAGGAAAAAGCTGGATTATCGGAAATTTCAGTTGAGGATTAAATACAACCTGAGCAAATCCGATTTCGACCAAATTGAAACGGTGGTTTTGCTCCTAAAGCCGCACAAAGCCGGAGTACAGTGGAAGTTCGCCGGGTCTTTTTACTTCGCCATCACTGTGATCACAACGATAGGTAGGGCTCTCTCTCTCTCTCTCTCTCTCTCTCTCTCTCTCACTTTACCTGTGATGGTTCAATCCAGACACTTTACCTTAATTAGTGTCCAAAAATATCTCCATAGAAGTAAATGTTATGGTATTGGGTGCTATACTGTTGGCAGCTCTGTTAAAGTTGGTCCAGACTGCATATTTCCGTCTGTTTATTTTGTTCTAAATATAGTACGACGTACAGAAAAGCTTATCTATGTTTCTGTCTTAAAACCTCAAAATGAGACTGAAATGGCATTTGAGGAATCTAGCTCAAACAAAACAACTCCCAGACCCTTATGTGCAGTATGTTAAGTATGTAGTGTAGATAATATAATCTAATGTTGATAATAAATATCACAAACATGAATGTCTCATACTTTTGTAGCTGGCAATGACATTGTGGCAATAAAACCCATTTAAATACATGATGTGGGAAAGGCCAAAAAGGTTAGACTTTTTAGAAATTTATATTCCAGCTCTCTTCTAACTAAATTATTATGAGCAAGCTAAAAGGCATGAAGGTTCCTCTTTGGTTTAAGGCAGTTTAGAGAGCCCATTGCTTCCAATCAATGACGGCACCCTTACAACCTTTCAGATAGCTTCTTCTACCTGAGACCAACGCTCTAGCCTCCTTTCTGTTTTTTATTTAAAGTGTGGTACTGTGGAGGTACCATGTAGGTATATTTTTTGTTCATCAAGATTCATACAATGTAAATGTACTCAAACGTACAACAATGGTCTATTTTTGTACCTTCAATAGGTTTATGTTTTAAAACATAACAATACAATAAAATGGCTGAAGATGAAACGGGGTGTGTGGAGTCAATACAGCTTAAAAAACATAATTGCAATGGAATATGGTATGATTATGTTCTCCTACTAAAGGTACTGAAGCTGATGTGCCCTTTAAGATACCACCCAGTCACTGTTTAGTACCTTGTTTCTGAAAGTGTAGGTCTAAGGTGAAAAAGGGCCTGCCTCTAGATCATTCAGTCATCTTTTTTTTCATGATTATTGATATAAAACTATAAAGCTCTGTGGTTAGTAACATGCAAGAAGTCAATGACAAAATGAGAAGGAGAACAGATTCTCATGCTGTGTACTGATGCTGCTTACCTGTTCAATTAGTGCATTATGATGGAAGTGATAATTGTGGTAAGCTGGTGGGTTTCCACGAAATCATCCAGAAATAGCCTGTTTTTAAAAACGCCATTAAGCCACAGGCGGCCACAGGCATCCGAAACTAACCATAAATATATCAATAAGATTAATATGGTTTGGTGATGATAATGGGTTGGTGATAATGATGTTTTTAGCTTTTTCATGCTTAAATTAATCTGCACTAAGCTAAATTTAGATTTCAGGATAATACCACGAAAGATATGTCTATAACTTCAACAGCAGCAATTAAAGCCAAATGGTGATGTAATTATTTATGAAAATAATGTTCTGACCAATTTTCTGACATTGATGTTTAATTGATGATGCAGTTAAGCATTTCCTCAGTTTGTTCTCAAAAGGGGAACAGCTCAAGAAAAAGCTGTGGTTAAAACAGAAAAGTGTTTTGTTTGTGTTCCAGCCCTAAGCATTTGTATTTACAGTGTGCATTTACTTCTAGAATTTAAATACTTCAGTATGTAAATACATTAACAGCTCTGAGTGTGGCACGGCCTTTATTAAATCTGGCATCTAGTACCTTTTTACGCTTATTGCTGTTCATTTTTATGATTGATGTTAAGGGATTTGACATAAATTTGGATTCTATTCTGCTGATAAGCAGTGTTTGCATTACAGATGTTTGCCCTGAGGTCTTTTAGTCTTTGACTTTCACCATGGAACACTGAAGACAGCACACAAACTGACTACATATCTCAGATCAAATGCGGTATTAGTCTGCCCCACTTTGGAACATTTACAGCTTCACTGAGATAATATTGAGAGAGCTAAGTGTAATGGATGAAAGTCCTAATATTTACTTGGTGTTTAAACAGAGCATGTACAAATAAATGTGGTAGGTTATACACAAGCTTAATGCCACTGGCCATAAAAAACAACATTCAAGACATTAACCAGTCTGTTTACCTTGTTCAGTTCTCATTCCAAAGCTGGCAATATGAAGTCATGTTCCATTTAACTGCATGCAAACATGATACATACATAAACGTGATGCATAAATCACTGTTTAATGCAGGTTTCAGATTGCACTGTGTACACTGTAAAAATATTTCGGCACTCAACCTAAAAAATGTACTGCATGTGGTAACAAGAACCTTAACTTCAAATAAATTTTGACAGCTGTGATTATCAAAAGCACATTTTCCATCACTACAAATCTCATGAACACTTCAGCTCCACCTCTGCTCCTCTCAGCGTAGATCTGAGATTGTTAGGAGTTTGCTAGGTAGCAAACGCTCCAATGCGTCACGGCAGCATCCAGCACATAAAACTTGAAACGAGTACAGTGACGGTATTGAGAATTTATTAGAACTGGTCTGGCCTGGACTGCAAGAAGAGTATTTTAACTGAAAAGTAGCCTGTCTCAGACTTTACATGTCTGTTTTTTAACATAATTTGAAAACACCATGGAGAATGGAACAATGAAAAAAAAATGAGAAAAAAATATTGTTCAATTTCTGTTTAAAGTTAAGAATGTTTTTTTGTTCTGCTGTAAGGTTACCATTTTGGAGACTCAAGGTTGTTGTATAAATGGTAATCTGTGACAATTTATTTAGTCAGATATGTTTCAAATCATTTTCACACCCTTAATACATTTTTACACCCATTCAGCAGTAGTGTAATCTAATTGAAGTCATGGGAGATTAGCTGAACCAATCAAGTTTAGCAAGACTAGCCTAGCTGGCACATAGCAAACAAATATAGCCAGCTGCATACACACTTACTTATTAAATTACATTTATGGTGTAATTTCACTTCACATGTTATCCTGAATTTAGAATGCAGAACGCAACATTTCACACCAAACCACCTGAATGACTTTGTTTACATCTTAACCACTTCATCATCAAATTTTGAAAAATGGGTATAGAGTATAAAATAGGGTAAATTAGGCATGCAGTTGCAAAATGTCAATTGGTGAGCCTATCATACTTCTTAGCTCTATTAGCTGGATAGCTCCTGGGCAAAACTAAAACAAACATTAGACACCAAATACGTTTTGGCTTATCATCATTAGGGGTAGCCTATGGTGAAAACAGTGTAAAAATTTTTTTCACCAGTTTATTACGCTAACATTTAATTCTAATTAAAGCTGAATTACCTCCAACCATTGCCTTATTTACTGTTTGTCATAGTATTACCATCTGTATTGTCTGCAATACAGTAATTGATTAGTTCTTGTCCATGTTTTCCCTGGGAAAAGTCCCATGGGTACAACAGTACAGTGGACTTTGTGACACTTTGAAACTTTGATGTCATAGGTTATGGCCATGCTGCTCCCAGCACGGATGCGGGGAAAGCGTTCTGCATGGGCTACGCTCTGTTGGGCATCCCGCTCACCCTGGTGATGTTCCAGAGCCTGGGCGAACGCATCAACACCTTCGTCCGCTTCCTGCTCCACAAAGCCAAGAAATGCGCTGGCCTGCGGCGGCCGGAAGTCTCCATGGCCAACATGGTGACCATCGGCTTCTTCTCCTGCGTAGGCACCCTTTGCGTGGGGGCAGCCGCCTTCTCCCGCTATGAAGGCTGGAGCTACTTCCATGCCTTCTACTACTGCTTCATCACCCTCACCACCATCGGCTTTGGTGACTACGTGGCCCTGCAGAAACACAACGCCCTCCACAATGACCCCCATTATGTGGCCTTCTGCTTTGTCTACATCTTAATGGGCCTGACGGTGATAGGAGCCTTCCTCAATCTGGTAGTGCTGCGCTTTATGACCATGAATGCTGAGGATGAGAGGCGGGATGCCGAGCAGCGGGCCCTGCTGTCCGGAGACAAACAGAAAGCTCCACCTCCTCGCCGGGCCAAAACCCAGAACCCACCGGTCACTGAACAGGACACCAGGAGGCGGGGCCTAAAGAGCGTCTATGCTGAGGTGCTCCACTTCCAGACCATCTGCTCCTGCCTGTGGTACAAGAGCCGGGAGAAGATGGTGATGCTCCCGCAGGACATGTCCTTCAGCGATGCTCTGATGGAGCAGGGAGAAGTCTCGCCCATGCACTTCTTTGAGCCTGGCTCCACAGGCTGTGTGTGCAGCTCCCAGCGCTGCTCGGCCGTCAGCACTGTGTCCACCGAGCTGAGAAGCATCTCCCCCTTTAGATTGCTCTCCAAGAGACGCAGCTCCGTCTAGACGTCTAGCTCAGGTGTTGATAGGTAGAAGCTGACTAAATCACTGAGTTACTGTATGTTTCTCCTATATGTGCATGCATTCTTGTAGCAAAGTTTAAAGGTATAATTTGGTGAAAAAGCAAATGTACACAATTGATCCTGACCGAAAATATAGTTAATCAGACATGTCTATTGTCCAAAGTTTGCTTCTGTAGTTTTGGACTGGAGCTACAAGACTAATGTACATACATAGCTAACAAGTAATGGAAGCTTTTCTCTGTTTTACTGAAGCTCATATCTCAAAATTTCCCACCTTTGGCAAGGGAAAAAAAAACAAAAACACCCACTGAACTGGGAATTCCTATTTAGAACTCCTACTCTCCAAGCTAAGCATATGACGTCAAACCAACATGGCTGCTTACACCATCAACAGAAATAAACTTCTCTACTTTTAAATATTTATTTTAGATCAGTGAACATTCAAACACAGTAGTTGGTTAAGCTACAACACTGATCATAAAGCTCCCCTTTGAGAAGGTAAAATGTTAAAGTTCTCACTCATATCATAAACGTTAGCTGGCTAGCTTCTTACTAATAATACTCACTTTCAAGGTTCATCCGTGTTTTTTTCCCACTGTGCAGCATGCATGTGTTGAGGTTGTAAATAATGCAATCCTGGGCTTTGACTTCCCACCTCAGAGCCAAGTCAGATGCAGCATTATATCCTATGAATTAGCATCATGCAAACTACAGGCCTAAATCATCACATATTTGTCTCAAACTGCATAGATGTGCTTATGTGGTCTGACATACTCCTATGTACAGACTACAGTATATTACATAACTAAAAAAACAGCATAAATCAGCATAGCTGGTCAGCAGCAAAACCAGCATTTTGTTGCTGTGGGACAAAATCTTATATCTCCAAAAACGTCTTTACAAGAGAAGGAAAAAACCTTTTTTAACTTTGAATGGAAGTTAATGGAATACAATTTTTTTCCAAGTCATTTTGCATCATTTCTATTGATCTTTTTCATGATGAAATCTTAACACAGTGTGAAGAGAAGCTGGTATTTTTAAACTATGTTTTTTTTTATGCTGGCGTGCTGGTCAGCAGCAATGGAGACTGTTATGCTGATCACCACTAAAACAGTATATGCTGTGTTTTGATGCTGGTATGGTGGTCAAGCAGTGTGACCATTCTAGGTGACCAGCTAAGACCAGCATAAACAAGATTGAACCATCTTAGATTATTCTTTCAGCAGGACGTTTAATTCATTTTTAGAGATAACAGTATATCATACAATGTCAAGCAAGTCTATTTGAAGTTGTCAACACAACGCGGTTTGAGGCAAGCGTGTGATGATCTCAACATGCAGTTTGCGTAGTGCTAACAGCTGTATTTATTTATTACTTGTTAGCTAAATAACCCTTGTGGCTATAGGGTAAAACTAGGGTAGCAAGTGCCTTGCCAAATCACCTACATTTTATATACCAATATGTACTTTTTTTTCACCAAACTATTCCTTTTAAGTACAAAGAGGCAAGTTGGAGTAGTTTAGGAATTGTTGTGTCTCATGGACACAGTACTGCTTATGTGTGAAGATGGGATGCACACAAAGGAGTGTAATAATGGACTTCTTGCTACTTGAGAGTTAGGCAATACTCCTTGACATAGTGCAATACACTGTGCAAAAGCAGTATTTTACCAGTGCTTTATAACAATGACACTAATAACATACTTTATTTTTCTCCATTAAAATTTGCAAACCTGTACTTTTCATGTATTACATAGTTCTAGCATTTCAAATTGATTTAAAATGTCTGTGAATCATATTATGTAAAATTGTCTGTCCCACATTGATTTCTTTCTGTTGTTTCATATAATCTGTTGTTTTATGTCTGTATGAACTCATTCCATCTCTGTTTTCTTTTGTGACCAGTTCCTCTTAAAAATTCTATGATTATATTTTGTTTTAAAAGTTTAATTTGTATGATTTCAGGTAAATAAAGAACACCTTTAATGTACTGTAGATTTACAGATGCTGTAGATTCCCTTTTTAATATACTGTACAAAACTGGAATATGACCATGTAGATGAAACACCCACAACATAATCGCTGATCCAGATGGCATGCCAACATGACTTCTGTTCTTTGCCCAGCTCTGTGCAGCCTCTTACAAGAATAGTGTCCCCTCCTGAAGACAGTTACAGTATATTAACCTCATAAGAGTTGCATGGGGCGAGGTAGGAGAACAAAAGATGACGCAAGATGATGGATGTCAGACTGTTCTGTTGTGATTAGGATGGATAGAGTGAGGTTAGATTCTGCAACAGTGACCACACAAATCAGGCAGAGCCAACATAATTATCCCATTGACTGTCTACATCTGGAAGTCGTACAAGCATTACGCTCTTCAGAGAACAACTATGTACAATACCTGAAAGCTTAAAGAGTAAATCTGACCTTGCTCTGAACTGCAGCTATAAGAAATACAGCCATCGTCCCATAAGGTCCCACCTCGTAATCTCAGCAGTGATCTGGACACAGTGTTCTGTGTATTCCCCTCTGACTCAGAGTGGGCTTGCTGATCAGGCTATGTTTGGCCCACACAGGCGAGCGTGCCACCCTCAGATGCTGCCAAGGAGAAACTGCTTCGTGCCCAAGACTTTGCCTTGAGCTATTAGACCTGCATGACACTGCAACAGAAGGAGAGCCATTGCAACAAATGCCTGTATGGCCTCCCCATGGCGGCAGCATCTGTTGTGATCTTTTTTACCCTTGCCATAGATATCTACATCCATGAAGAAGGTAAAAATAGCCCTGACCGGCAGGTCACTGGGGGCAGGACATGATGTACATCTTAGTTTTGGTTTTGCAGCCAAAGAACTAGGACAAATCTGAGATTCTATATTTGTCAGCAGTGATCTTCAGAAATCCTCCCATCTTGGTCATCACTGGCAAGCTTTTATTACTTGAAAACTGCCTTAATTTAAAAAGGTGCATGCATTTTTCCATGAATTCAGAAGCTTTTTATTCTTTTTTACAAAATTATTTGACTGCAAAAAATGCATTAAAGCGTCTAAAAAAATCTAAGGATATACAGTCATAAGCAAAAGTTTTTCAAATTACATTGTGCTCATTTTTAAGTGAAGTAAAAACATCCTCTACAGAGAACACACTTTAATGCACATTTTAATGCACAATTAAAATAAAACAACATTCATTTGCTAAATGTAAAATGTTAGGAAAACAAATAAAACATAAAATGTGGCCTGTGCAAAGGTTATGACACTTTTTATAATTTAAGTTTTATATTTTCTAATATGATAAACTTAGTAAATAAACAGACACTGTGCACTAAAATTTGCATGTGTTAACTTCTTTTTACTTAGAAAACAACAAAACAACAAAACTTTTACATATGACTGTACATATTGAAGGAAATACATCTGTTGTTTAGGTTTCAGGAAGTTTCCACAGCCTGTGCTTTAGGCTCCCTTTCAAAAAATAAACAGATATAAATGTATTAGTGTGATTTGCATTCTAATGTACTCATCCTCCACTGTTCAAATTCTAATCCAAAAACTCAAAAATGCAAGAAGGCTACAGGGCATATCTTTTTGTAACACATTACATTGTGAAAAAATACACAAGGTGCAAAAATGGTGCAAAAGATGCTGTGAGAAAATGTGAAAAGTCCACATGTGGAAAAGATGAGAAAAATAGTGGGTGACCAGCTAAACCAGCGCCAGACCACCATAAACCAGCATACATTACGCTGGTCTGTGCTGTTTTTTTCAGCAGGGTATTTCAATCATTAGAGAAAGATAAATTCATGTGATATTTCTGTACAGGTTGCACTAAAGTGTTTTTGTGTCCTAAAACATAACATTTACAACCAAAGTTTTAAGTCTACTAAATGCTGTAGTTATATTAGCTTCCTAGTTAAATCAGAGCTCTGTATAAAGTGTGCAGCATTCCTCAAACTCTCACGAGTTCTTGTGTTATTATTACTGCAAGGTAACGATAAGAACTTTCTTCCCAGCAGTCTGTTCTTCGTCTTCCTCTTAGACCAAAGACTCCAGAGAAATAAATTAATAACCACAAAAATGTGTCTGAAAAACATCATGATGTCTCTTTAAAACTAGGCCCGACTCGGAGCACCTCGCTGTTGATTGGTTGATTTCGCCCAGCTGCCTTGCAGCGTTGTGGTGTTACTGGCGTGCAGCGTTATCGACTCACCAGAGCACAGTATCTGGTCACGGTGTTACATAATAAAGCCAGACTCGTGTGCTGATCCGAAGATGGAGTTTATGGCTAACTTGTTTGCTCAGAACAGGAAAGCTGCCCTGTGCTTTGCAGGAGCCAGCGTGGCTTTGCTCGGATTCGGACTCGGCTACAGATATCTGCGTAAACAGAAGAAGTTAACTCGGGTCGGAGTGGTTTCCCAGCTGCTACTTCATCCTTTGAAGTCCGGAAAAGCTGTGGCGGTGGAAGCGGCCGAGTGTCTGCGCATGGGGCTGAAATGCGGAGAGCTGCAGGATCGGTGAGTTTCCGCGCAGAGCTGTGAACAGCGGTGCAACATGTCGACGCCAAACATATGTTGCAAACGTGAACCTGAAAGTGACAGTTGTTGAGTATATATGTTAGTTAGTATATAGTTGTTGATATCTTTGTATCGATAACACAGACATTTTCATTAGTCTGGTTACGTTACGGTTTGGGTGTTGCAGTCGACGCAGCGTTGGTGAGGCTGTAAATAGTAACCGTGAAGGTAGTGCTGGGCGGTGTATCGTCTATGTCGGTATACCGCGATATTGGTATACCGTGATACTGCTTTTCAGTTTTACCAATATATTTGATAGACAGTTGTATCCATAATATAATGGCTGTAATAAAATAGTGGTGTTCCTGTTGCAAAGCAGTTAGTTTCTAACTTTTTAGTTCTATTTTATGCACTTTTTACATGTTATTCAGACCATGAGTGTGTATGCAATTTTCTAGGTGTTTCAGAATGTTTTGAAACTTTAAAATGTATAAAAGTAATAAAACAAAGTTATGTTTCATCTGTTTAAATAAAGTTATGTTTGCAAATGTGCTTTCTCTCTGGTTAACAATTATGATGCAGTGTATAAAGGTTCCATTAATTATACTAGAACAAAATGGAACAAAAAAGCTATGCCAGGTTTGTAAGACATTCTTTTAACATAAAGTACCAGTACTCAGGAAGCATGGAGTCATTAAGCATTTTCAAATATCATCTGGTACTGTGGTACTGATAGATACTGATAGATGGAAGATATTGCGACACTTAATTTTATCGTGTGCGGCACTACTTGAAGCGAATAAAAAGTGATAATGTTCATAAGTCTGCTCAGAATAACATCATATTCTTCGTGCATTTATGACAGTTATGATCACAGAAACTGATCCTAGACCAGCCCTCCTTCCTGAGGTGGTTTGTGAATAAAGACGTGTATTTGCCAGTTGCAGTGTTGCTTTTTAGTACTTCTGCTTATTTCTCATTTTCTATTGCAGCCACTGGCTTGTCATTACAGAAGATGGCCATATGGTGACAGGAAGACAGCAGCCCCGCCTGGTTCTGGTGTCAATGACCTGTGAGGGTGGTCAGCTCTGTTTTAATGGTCCTGACATGGAAGAATTAAGAGTTCCCCTCTATCAGCCCTCCAAACCCATCTACAAGTGCAGGTAGCTGCCAAAGTACAGAATGCACTATTTAATGTAGTGTTATAGGTTCCACACTTCATTGTAGAGTAGAAAGACTTTATACCCATGCACAATAAGGGCTGTGAACTGTGGGTATTATGCGAGAGATGGTAGTTAATAAAATTTTAGCCATATTTCATTGTAAAAAGTGCTGCAACCAACTCCCTTATTGGAAAACTCTGTAAATTGCAGGCATTCAAAGCAAGAACTGTAAAGTCACTTCAGTGTGACAATGTGTTTTCATTTCCTATACCAAACATTAATGGAATATTCAATCTCTGCTTGTAGAGTCTTTAGTTCAGACACCGAAGGCAGAGACTGTGGGGATGAAGTGTCTGACTGGCTTACTCGATATTTTGGAGGAGACCAGACCTATCGCCTGGTGCACTTTGAACCTCACCTGAAGGCCAGGAGACCAGCTGACAAAGACCCTGTCTTTCCCAAGGATGACAAGGTTTGGCATAGGCTTCTCTCCATCACTATCAGTAGTTCTAGTAATATAATCATAGCTACTGCAGTATAATTTAGTCATGTTATTACTGAAGTTTGGGGGGGGGCATGCCTGAACCCCAATAAATTCACATCCTCATCTTCCATTCCCGTGACAAAGTGTTTGCAATTCCCACCGACACCACATCTCCTCCCTGTCAGTCCTACATCGGTCCTACTACAGCTATGAGGCGGGGGGCGTCTGGCCTTCTAGCTACAGGCAGAAGCTGCCCAGAACTCCAGCTCTTCAAGTTCTCAGAGTTCTCCCTTCTAACCCAATTAGTCTTTGCTCCTAATACCACCACATGTTTAAGGCATGGTCCGAACTCACAAAATGCCTTTTGTATCGCATTTGATACTTCAGTAATCACATTCATCATTTCAAGCGTCAAAAGACATAAGAAACTCAAATTAACAAATGATTTTGAGAATTGAGAAGTGCAGTCCTTCCTTTTGTACAGTAATAAAAAGCTCTGAGGATGCAATCTCCTCCTGAATTGTTTGATGTACAAACTGTGATGTATAAAAACCCTTCTAACTCTTTTATATAACTGTTTTCCTGAGTTGACATCTTTAATGATTGTTGCTCGCTTGCAACCCTCTTTCTGACGGGCTGCTTCAAAGATATTTCAAAATCATAGGTGAGATGACAAAGGAAAATGACACTTTGCTTGTTTGTCAGTGGTGTTTAGCTCTGTACTGTGATGGCATAGGTGGCTTACCCTGATGCTGCTCCTATCATGCTAATGTCTGAGGCCTCGGTGAAGGACCTAGGGAGCAAACTAGATCGGGACATCTCTGTTCGTCGGTTCCGCCCCAGCATTGTGGTCAGTGACTGTGAGGCTTTCAAGGAGGTATGATGACCATTCCGTTTAAATAAAGTGTTTTTAAAGCACTTGTTCAGGTTATTGCATTTTCAGTGTAAGATTATTGTTTTTGTTGCTTTTGCTTATGTATAGCTCTGTGAATAATTTGCAATTTGTCTCTGCCAGTTTTAAACTAAAATTGAAACCCAAACAGCTTTTTAAACCACTTGTAACTTGATTTAATGAAAGATATTATATGATGAGTGTGTTAATTTAGGTTTGTTATTTTTCTTATTAAATAGGACACATGGGATAATATACAGATTGGTCGAGTGGAGATGAAGCGAGTCATGGGCTGTGGAAGGTATTCATTAAAGCAGTTGATATCTGATTTGCTAACTGGTTGTATGTTTTGTGATGACCATGTCTGATGTGTATTTAATGTGCAGGTGTATTTTCACCACTGTTGATCCTGAAACTGGAGTCATCTCTAGGAAAGAGCCACTGGACACTCTCAGAACGTAAGTCAACCAGTCAGCCTTTTACAGAGGACACGTCTAGCAACCTCTATATAGTACACAAACACTCACAAAAATGAATAGCTTGTAGTAATAATAGTCAGAGAACTCTTTTTGGAGTCACATTTTAAAGAACTATGTACAACAGGTTCCTCATTACAGAGTTTATGCATGATACTACCACTGCTAAAATGGCTTTCATGAAAAGAATGATTTTGTAAACTGCAGAGAACCATTTAAGCATTCAAATGATTCTGTAATTTGCTATTATTCAGTAGCAATGTGCAAAAGTCAGAGACCACCTTTCATCTAATTTATTTGCTGTCAGAAAGTGCAAGTTATTCATTTTGGGGGATATTTCTGAGGGGATTATCTAGATGAGTTAAAAAAAAATATGAAGATGCAGAGAAAATGTAACTCTTAACAACTGTACAAGACCAGGTAGACCACCAAAACTGTCACTATCATATAAACAGCACTCAATCCTTCATCTTTGAGAGACAGAAGAAAAATCAAGCTCCACTCTTGCTTCAGATTTGAAAAAAGCTGTTTCTGTCCATCCTCAAAATATGAGAAGACAACTGTGAAAGGGTGTGTAGCTGTTAAGAAGCCATTACTGAGAAAAGGAAGCAGATTAAAAAGATGTCAAACAAACAGAAGTCAACAGAAGTCAAACAAAGAAGCTGCTGATGTCAGAAACAGTGAACTGGCCACTGGCTCAGGCCTCAACATCACTGAATACTTTTGGAATTACTCGAATTAGGAGAAGCAGAAAATGCAACCAACTTTGACTGAACTTTGGAGATGTGGAAAAATGTCCTTGCAGATTTTTTGGAAACCTCCCAATGTAGAAGATAAATAAAGAGTTGAATGCACTAAATACTGAAATTTTGACATTTATATTTAGTTGTTTTTCAGTATTTCTGCTTTTTCATGATGCTGAAAAATGAAAAACTTGCACTTAATGTCTGTTTTTACTTGAAATTTCATAAATAAAGGGTGGTCTCTGACTTTTGCACAGTACTGTGTAATCATTACCTTTACCTTTTTTAAGAGTGTGGATTTAAACTAATAAATTGTTAGAACTGATTGGGGTTTTTCAACATTTTAAATCTTTCATGCTATTTTAAAGCAATAGTAAACACAAGGAGTTTTATGACCATGGTCATGGGTGCAGCTTATAAAGACAGTTTGTGGCTGCGCAATCAATGTTTTTTTTTTTTTTTTTTTGTACCCTTTACTCTGTGTTGCTGGCACACTTTTCCTCTGTTAATCAGTGACACGTTGTCTGTTACATTGAACTCAATGCTCCGGTGTTGGCTTTAATTGTCCCTTGAATCGAATCAGATAGTTCCAGGTCCAGACTGTAAAACTTTTTAAAAGCTTTGTTTGTTCCTTGTACATATTTCAGTGCACCTCATTTCACTAAGCGGTTTGTGATGATCGAATTTTACTATATTTTACATATTTTTGTCTTGGCTTCCAGCTATCGGCTAACTGACCCTGCACAGAAAACTGCACCAATACTTGGACAGTATTATACTGTCAAGAAGACTGGAATCTTCCATGTTGGCGATCCTGTCTACAGGATTAGTTATTGAGGCTGTACAAGATGGATCTAGCGTAAAGATCATCACAGCACAAATGTATTCATCTTATACGTGTGAGTGTTTAACATGGACAGTTTTCAAAAGCATCTTGATTGTAAATCTTAGTCTACTTTTGTAATGACCTATGATAACATAGTTAACTGTTTTCGGCAATATTTTTTTGTGAATATGCAGTTAATAGACAAAGAAAAGTAATGGTTTCCAATTCCAGTGCTGCCTGTACTGCACTGTTTTATTATTGATCTCTAACCTGATTTCAACTCAAGAAGGACTTGATCATTCAGAATGCACTCAGCTGAAAACTGAAAAAGTAGTTCTTCTATATATAATTTGACCTTTTTTATGCTTTTAAATTGGCGTAATAATACTGATGATGCTTTAAAGGTGATAATTGCATATTGAGAGAGAACCGAGAGAATTGCTAAATAATATAAATAGTATTAAATATTCAGAGTTGTACAATTATGAAAATGTAATACTTAATGGTATCCAAAAGGCAATGGTATTCAAAGCGCCTCCGCTAAAATGACGGAAAATAATTAGTTTTTTAAGTTAAGCACTTTAGAACCCTCACCTAGCAGTCTCATCTGAAGTTTGTCCAACAGGGGCCACTATTAGCACACAAGTCACTTGTTCATCATTTAGAGAAGAAACAGCCAAAAGGAGAATAAAAACATACGCTTGCAGTAACAAATTTCGAAACTGAGAGGTTAAAAGCTTATCAGAGGGTATTTATTTACTCAGTATTGTTTATTGATTTCCGTTAAAAAAAGGTTAAGTCAGTTATTGCTTAAAAAACATGTAAGCTGAAGACTGTATAGAACACAGCTGTAGCAAACCGGGTTAAAAGTTGCACTGTTTATCTGCTGCTGCTCAATCTGTTTGAATGCCTCTGTGCTGACCAGCCCAGGAGAGCAAAGAAGAAGAGTGTTTTTAATCACTATTTCTCATTTCCACTACCATTCAGATTATTAGTTCAGTGTTAGATTTTGTCACTTTATTATAGACCTGTTGAAACCTTTGCTTTTTCATCCAAAAACTTCAGCCTTTTTAGGCTGAGGTTTTGGTGCATCTCTACTAATAATTAATAATTACAATCAATACTGCTTAACCAATAATTCTGCCAATGAATCATGAAAATGTTTCTTGTGCTCTGACAGTACTCTCCAGGCTCAGAGTTTTTTTTGTTGAATGTTTGGTGTGTGTTCACAGAACCTAACAAATCATGACAGGAATCATGTGTGAAAGGAAACATGAATTAAGGCAGCTGATTATGGTTAAGTGCCTTTTTAATAATAGTGATGTCACTATATTATCATATTTTCCAATTTTTTGGGGAAAATCACAGCACCCTGTAGTCTTGTGCATTCATTGATCAAAAGGGCATGAAGTTAAGCAAAGCTTATTATAAATGCTTTTAGAAAATCATTATGTTTACGTTTTTTGACAGTCACTTCTTGACTTTCATTATTGCTGGACTCTACACATGCTATAGATGACATAAGACTGGAGTACTGCCAGTATAAAAGATGCTGATATAATACTTAACACTGTATAGGTAAAATGCAGACACTAAGTAAAACCATTGCTATAGCTGGTAGAAACACTAATGGATATTTTTAAACATAAAATTATTGCATTTTTATGTCTTCTGTAGAAGTTTAGAATCTGCTTGTTGTGCACTTTAGTTTAAGTTTAATAAAGTTGGGGTGAATAAAACTTTTGATGCAATTGTCATATCATTACTACTATACATCGGAAGTTCTTAACCTGGGAGTCAGGCATGGTCTCAGAGGGGTGACAAAAGTGGGGCTAAAACACTAATAATGATAATAATAATCATAATAAATAATAATAATAATAGATACACCTTAAAATTAACATTTTCAAACCCAAGGATGCTATACACAACATGAGCTCAGGATATACAAAATGTGCAGTAATTACCAAGGGAAATAGCAATAGTGTCCTAGTAAGGTGTTGGGTCACCATGAGCAGCCAGAAAGGCTTCCATGTGCCTATAGATTAATCTCTGAATTTGTACTGGATGGACAGAACTAGGGGTGGCCGAAATGTTCTTTGCAGTCTGTAATTGTAGAACTAGAACTAGAACTTAGTTGTAGAGCTAAGGTGCACCAATGTGCTAAATAGACCTGATAAAATGGACAGAGAGTGTATATTAGGGGTCGGGGGGAAAATTGATACTTACACATTTGGCAGACACTCTTATCCAGAGCGACTTACAATTTGATCATTTTTACACAGGTAGGCGAAAGTAGTGTTAGGTGTCTTGCCCAAGGACTCTTATTGGTAAAGCGTAGGGTGTTTGCCCAGGCGAGGATTGAACCCCAGCCTACAGCGTGGAAGGCAGAGATGTTACCCACTACACTATACCAACCATGTCATCGCAATGCGCACGTGGACGATTCTGAATCGATTCACAAATGTCAAAAATCGATTTTCTAAATTTTGATGGATAACGTAATGTTGACGGAACGCAAAAGGCGGAACTTTTCAAAGTGCGGAAGCGCAGCGCCCGGACAGTCTGTGGCGTGCACGCTACACTAAAATCTAGTGCAGGGGTCACAACCCAAATGTTATTAAAAGGCATTTCGTCCTTTCAACAAAAATCAAACCACCTTGGGAGCCACAACATTTTGAGTCCATTTTACCATCTTGGCTCTACATGTGTCTCAGCACGTGCTAATGTCCTAGTGTAGGCTAAAAATATAATACAAAAACACAGACTTACTTTGCTCTGCTTTAAGCTTAAGCTCAGCTGTAGCCGCTTTTCTTGCATCACCAGCTGGAAAGTTTTCCACAAAAGTAGAACAGTTTCTTGTAAAATGTCTCTCAATGATCTACTTTTTGCGAGACTGAAGTCAGTTTCCCGTTCTCCAGCTTCTTGTTCGATTTCTCCCGTTCCACCTTAAATGGTGCAGCAGTTACATTCTGGCGCCTAAGGCACCATTTAAGGTGGAACGGGAGAAATCGAACAAGAAGCTGGAGAACAAGAAACTGACTTCAGTTTCATGTGTTCTTTAGTGTTTGACAGTTTTTCGTTGCAGATTAAATGCATCAGGAAACGAGCTCGAGTGATTATAAAAGTCTGTTTTTAAATCTTTCTCTTTGTCTTTTCGTCAGCTACAAGCTAGGTGAACTAACAGTTATAGGCTACATTAATTCCAGCGTTTAAGATCATTTATTGTTGAAACTGTGTTTGAACGATCAGCAGAGCTTTATTTTACTGCAAATGAGGATTATTTTATTTTTTACCTAGAAATCTAACTCTGTTGTGGAGCCACACCAGGCCAGTAAAAGAGCCGCAAGTTGCCGACCCCTGAGGTGGCGTATGGAAGCACTTTGGCTTCTGTGGAGCATTTTCCGCCTGGTTGTAGTTGCTGCCAACCAGAGGACCATCGATCAAGCAATGTTAAAGCTTCCACCCAACTCGAAAAGGACGAAGCGAATTACAAACTCTATCGCAACTATTATTGCCAAGGATTTGCATCCGTACTCAGTCGATGAGAACCAGGGCTTTTGCGCTATGTTGCCCACTTTGGAGCCGAGATACAGCGTCCCGTCTCGAAGATGTTTTACTGACACAGCGACCCCCGCACTCTCTACAACGAGACCAAGACCTAATTTATGAAACCACTGACGAAAACGGGCGGGATAGCTGTAATCTGCTGCGTGGACATTCATTGCCACAGGACATTATTTCAGCGTAACTGCATTTTATTGCAGATGAGCGGCAGCCAGCGTCTCGTGCTCCAAACAAGAGCAGTGAAAGAAAGTCTTCCAGTTGACTTGTTCCATTTGATTTATTAATAAAAGATAATGGAAGTAAATTCGTTATGGATCATTACAGATACTTTACTTTTGCACATGATATTATGAACCCTCAGGTGCTGTAGTGTGTGAAATATGTAGTCATACAAAATTATGATGTTATGCACTAAAACGTACTAATTCAAGTCTGGTTTAGACTGCATCATTAATATTTTTTTACTTCACTTTATATTTGCTTTGTCTTATGGATAATAATTACACACACACACACACACACACACACACACACACACACATATATATATATATATATATATATATATATATATCAACAAAAAAATGAACATTGATTGAATGAACATTAATGGGAATGGTTTGTTGTCTAGAGAAATGAGGGTTCAAGTGTGTCCGTGAGTTGGGGAAAAAAACTTTTTCAACAGTGCCCACTGGCTATTTTCTGTTCAATTACTCATTTTTATATTTTATCTTAGTATATTTCTTTGCATTATATTGTTTCACTCCATCTTTATGCCATAATGAATTATAAGCTGCTCATTTCTTTGCAGAAAAAAACATGGGAATTACTAGTTCTCAACTCTGGCCCTGCCATTATGTTTGACATGCTTTTGAGTCGATCACAGCCGTCTCTAAATTTTCCTCCTTCTCTCAAGCAAAGGAAAAACTTCTCAAAACAAACCTGCAGTGAGAAAAGTGCTGGCAGTAAATTAGAAAGAATTATTAAACAAAGAAATGATTGAAAGGTATTACTGAAAGATGTATAATGCTTGACACTTGTTATCCTGATCATCTGCTCATCAGGTCATTATGCTAGCTCTGAGGTAAGCTAAACTTCATTTGGGTTACTGTTTTTGCTTATAATCATGCTAATGTCTAACGATTAATAACATTACAAATAACAAATTTATTAAGCTTAATTAGCTGAGTAGTTAGCTTTTCTGAACTTACTGTAAGCTTTATATAACAGTGAGATTACAGGACTGTAGAGTGCTCACATTTCTGATTAAATCATTGTATATAAAGATAAATATTAATGCACATGTGCACATGACATTATGTGTATTGTTCCATTAAAGGCTGCATTAAGACCTTGTGTAAAAGACCAGAATCTTCCTAAGTATGTAACGTTACTCTGACTAGCTCCAGTGTAGCTTTAGCATTAGCTCATCTGAAGACATGAAAGCTTACTGCTTTAATGTAGCGTGATGAAAAGATTTTCATGGTTCGTTTTATGTAAACATGGTTTGCAGAATCCATTTTTTTCAATTCTCAAACTTCCATGTATGAACATCTTGTAAAGTCATTAATTAAAATTGATTAAAATTGTTAATTGAATCTTTATCAGAATTGACTTCTTATTTTATTGCATAGTAAACAGCTATTGGACCAATCAAGTCCAAACTCCCTGTAGACATAAGCCCACCCCCCGTGGTCCTTTTGAAGTTTAAATTTTTGTGAATTCCTGAAAAATCAACAGCTGCAAATTGGTTTTAAAGTACACATAAAAACAAAGCACAAAAAGAAAAATAGCACAGCAACTGATGTTTGCAGCAAACAGCCAAGCATGTGAAAAGCTGCAGAGACAAAATTACAACACAAAATTATATGCGTATATGAAAAATAAACAACTGCAACAGCAAAAAGCAACTTAGTTAGGAATCCTTGCTAATTTGAATGTGGTTTATGCGTGATGGGGTACTCCAGGACCAGGATTGGGGACCACTGAGCTTAAAGGGACATTTCAATTATAAGGAAGAATTAACAGGTTATTAATTATTAAGAATTAACAGGTTATTAATAACTGGCATGTAACACATGTGCCCAAGTTAACCACTACTGAGTGTGAGCTTATTTTAGGCTAAATTTGCAACCCTGTTACCCATTTTTAACCTTCAATTATTTTTAAATAAAAATGAAATGAGAGTGGCTTGAAACAAAAGGATTTAATGAAAACATTTTGATTAAAACAATTTTTCAAGTTTTTCTTCTGCTCTATGTTGTATATTTTTAATGCATTAATATCAACCTAATGGGGAATCTGAGCTCTGTGTTCAATCTGTTACTCGCTTCAACCCTCCCAGTTATCAACCTTGTTACTCAGTCATTTTTGGTGAAAATTAAAACTTAACCTACCAAATTACATGTTTTATGTTACCAGAAGTGTCAATTTGGTAACAAGAGTCATTAGTTAAAATTACTAATACAAGAAAAATTGTGCTATTTTTTGTTTATAGAGAAAAAGCATTTTGTAAATGTGTATTTCTTGTTAGTAAATAATGGATTCACTTGACACTGACTTAAATGCCATTTATACATATAACAGGGTTGCAAAAATGCTGTATATTTCAGAAAAAAACAGCCCATATAGTGTCTGATTTGACAGTCTAAAGTGGGAAAATAACGTTGTCTGAAGTTTAAGCACTTTGACCAACAGTTTGTCAACAAAAAAACACCAAAGAAAAACACAATTTTTAGTTTGAAGGCATAAATGACCTCTATTTACAAAAGGCACCAACTTTTTGTTTATCAAAGACGCAGTTCACCTTGAGAATGTCTGGAAGAGCTTTTTCCATCTGGTTGGTGAAGACATTAAGACATGAGTGTTAAAGCCCTGAGGAAGCTGTATCACTGGCATATCCAGCAAAGCAGAATGTGAAGAAAACAATGATTCTATCTTTATTCAGCAGATAGACAGATTCCAGTAAGGTATATAAATAGCTATATAGCTGCCTTGCTAACTTTCAGCTTGTTGTCCTCCTTATCTGACGAGTCATTACTGTGGTTTGAGTAATCCATTCTCTTCTTTATAATGATGATTTGATTACCACCACCGCTGCTACTCAACACACAAAAAACTGTACAGATGGTGGTGGACATCAGGCGCAACCCACCGTCCCTACCCATCTCAACATCA